CAGTTGATTACAAAATTGTTTCAGGATGTACCATTTGATCTGCAAAACATATAACTTACCTCCAAACTTGGGAAACACAAAAAAAAAAAAAAAAAAAAAAAAAGCCGAGTGAAGGAAGGAAACCCAAAGTTGCTTCAGCTCCATCGCATGTTTCTATAGTTACAAGTCGTCATTAAGTCACAGCTGGAATAACTGCTGGAGATCAAGAAGCACCTGTGGTTCCATTAGTGGTTTTGCTGATCACCCCCTTCCCAAAATACTCGGCGATCACAGAAAAACCGTCCTTTGAACTTTTAACTTGCTGGAAGAACCGATCCTGATCTTTGGAGTTCTGCTCTAGACTTCTTTTTGTTTCAAGAACAGATTTGTATTCAGGAGCACACACAGGACATTCCTTCTCATTATCGCCGAGGCAACGCTGATGGAACGAGTGGATACACATAAAATGTACAGCCGGGAGATCGAGGGTGAAAGTGCATGCGGTACACTTGCTGAGCTGAAAGATTCTGGCATTTGTCCTAAGATCCTGAATTTCATTTCTCATTGCCGATGTGGTTTCCTGAACAATTAAAGGCTTCATTAGTAACCTCTATCAGACGCACACAATAACACAACAATTTGAATTAAAACCTAAAAGAGCGTGAAGTGTATTTTGGTTCTGCAAATTTTATTTATCGATAATACACAAACCCACCCCAAAGTTATACTCTTATCAGAGATCATGAAGAGCACCATCATGCCTGGCCTATATCGTTTACTTTATCTGAATGTTTCTTTCATGACAAAGACTCAGCTTAACCTACTGGGGTAGCATCCATATCAATTCCTACCAGCTTAGATATTCCGTTGAACGTCTTATATCAAATTAGCATATTTCAGTTCAATGTAACCCTATCCAAGGGCCCTGAAGAACTATTATCGCTATATTTGTGATGCAACTGTCATATCTATAAAATACTACAGCATTTTTTTTCATTCTATCTGTGCAGTTTCAGACCTAACTAGAATCCCATGCAACCATATTTGATACATTGCTTTGACAAGATTACATTCGTCTCATTACAAAAGTTTCCAAGGAATGCATAAATAAGAAACATAAAATGTTAACCAACTTATACTGGAGGCAGGTGAAATGAACAAAGAGGTACAATAAATAAATTCACAATGACAGCTGCAGTAAGGACTAACCTGATACTTCTCAATTGCTCGACGGTCCTCTTCAATCAATTTTGATTCTTGTTCAAGCTTTCTAGCAATGTAATCCTTAATGACAGAAAGTGTGAGACATGGATTTCTGGATAGTGTTTGAAGAACAATGATAGGAGGCAATATGTCATCCCTTTCTATATATGTCAAAACTTCCTTCACTTCTTTGGAGCAATCTTCTCCAAGTTCACCAAAATATTTTAGCAGATCTGCCCAAAGAGTTGGGTCCCCGCCCTTACCTGAATCCCCTAGTCGTTTGCAGCATGCAATCAAACCCCCATGGTCATGAGCTTGCATGTAGCAAGCAATCACCTCCTTATAGAGTTTCAATTTTTCATAGAGATATAGAAGGCCTTCCTTAAATGCATTCATTTCACAAAGAATTATGGCAAGGTCAACATCATAAAGCGGATGTTCCAGGTCAGATGGCCATGCGCTCTTAAGAAGTTGTAGCCCTTTCTCTTGCTTTTCCAAACGGTCCTTTTCCTTGTTTGAATCTTTGGTATCAGCAAACAATTTCCCATTGGACTGGCTTCTTGACGTTGCAGCTGCACCTGATCTAGCCCTGAGATGCAGACCTTCGCCATTGCTAGCTTGTGATAATGATGGGAAGCTCAAGTCATTGGACAAGTACAACTCCAAGAGTGTGTTATGGATTTCTACTTGAGCAGGAGAGTCCTTGACCTTGTTGGTATATTTTTCAAGAAAATCCATAAGCCAGGGAAGATGATGAATGAAGATGTTGAGAAAATCAACTGGAGATGGCAGCATTGTCAAGTACGCACCATTAGCAGCTCCTCTCTTGGATGATTCGCCATCCTCAGTGCACAGCCTTATGAGTATCTCAATTGTTTCCACAGGCTTGTGCTCTATAAGAATCTTACCATACTCTTCCACTGTCGCTCCAGCTTGGCTTGGTTCAAGGCTTGAAATATATTGCAAGGCTTCCTCATATCGGCCAAGATCTTCAAGTAAGATCTTTAAATACCATTCGTGCTTCCCAGCCTTTTTAGCAACATACATTGCATGCTCATGGTAATTGGTAGCACGGCAGACTCTTATTGCAGTCTCCACATCAAATTTATGTTCCCCAATGCCATCCTCACTTTTAATGAACACATTTAGCTTGTCAACATCTTTCAATTTGGTGTAGCAATTCAGTAGAAGAGTGGTATGATCTTTGGAAGCAAGCCCCTTCTCATGCAATTTTTCCAAGTAATTTGTCAGGTTGTAGATTCGTTGTGCATCTAGAAACTTCTGTATCACATAAGAAGGCTCAAGGTGACCAATGGTATGGATATACTGGGCCATTGCCTCATCATAATCTTGCTTACTATATAGATGATCGCCATACTTCCTCAGCACTTCTGCAGTTGCGGCAGCATCCGCTTGCTGACTTTGAACAAGGTTGATGGCAACAGTGTAAAGATTCTTCTTAAAGAGCATATCTAACTTGCTCTCCATATCCTTCTCCCCAATGCACAAAGCTGACTTGTCAGCCATGATAAGTATTATATTACCCCATTCACAAAGCATGTGAGAAACCTCTTTAACCACTAGGCTGTGAGCAATTAAACGGTTCTTCAGGTCATAAATGTTGAAAGTGTTGCTGCTATTTCTTTGATCTGCAATAACACAAAGAAGGTATCCACGAAACCACCCTAAAAATTTCTTTTCTCCTTCAAAAGCCCAACATGGTCCACGCCCATCAACTTCATAAAAGTAAACCGCCTCAGGTCGACCAATTATCAACTCCTGTCAAAGTAAGTAAAGAAATAAGATGCTAAGGCATACATAAACATACACCAACGGAAAAAAGGAGGTAGAATTGCATACCGAGCGATCACTCATTGCAACACTGTTCACATTACTTCCAATCTGATCTAGGGTCTGCCTCCTTGTGTTTGAGGGTTGATTCTGCAAGATGAACAAGCTCACAGAAGACGGAGTCACAGCAAACAACTGAAGCGCTTGACCGTCCACTCTGAACCCCAGTCCCGTAACGAGGATTGGCTCTTGTCAGAAAGGTTTTCCACCTGAAGCTTGAACCGGGTGATTCGCTCTCGTGCAATATCCCCTTTAATGCAGTAAATTGAGCCATTATCTAATCCAATAGCTATAAGCAATATCGGAGGTGCTTCCTCTAGTACTAAAAACGATGTAATCTGCAGTAATAAACAACGACTTGATTCAAAACCTATTGTTTCTATCGAAAATGGGGGTTCACAAATTCAATCATCTGGCAAAGACAGTACCTTTGCTTCAGGAAATTGGTTAGTGAATATCCTTAAGATTCCAATGCAATCAGGGCTCGTTGTGCTTGAGCTCGAGCCCTCGGACTGCATCCTATCCAGGTCGAAAACCTTGAGGCACATTGCCGATTGCTGCGGAGTAATTTGTTGATCTTCTCCAATTGTCACCAAATAGTTGCGTTGCTGATTTGACAATAACAGGAGCAAAATTAACACATTTTTCACCTCCTAATCACTCACTAAACAAACTAAAAACTAATCCCAATATCGAAACACCAAAGCTCAAATTTCTTTTTTTCTTTTCTTTTCCGTTTCTCACATTTTCCCGAGAAACAAACAGACAATTGACCAAATCAAGACAAAACGTTGCGAGAGGAGGCTGACCTTGAGCTGCTGAAGGAAGAGCGCGGAGGAGGAGTGAGCTTGGAATCCGTAGCTGAAGTTGAGGCCGCGGTCGAGGAAGCTGACTGTGCCGTCGTCGCAGCCGATCACCACCTTCCCTCTGCCGCTCGAGCAACACTCGATCTTCCCTTCCACTTCCTCGGGAATCGCGCACTTTCCCGCCAATTTCTCCTCGAAGAACTCGAATTTCCTCCACTGGTACATTGCGAGAAGCTCTTTTCGGTTTTTTCAGCAAATTTGACGAGCTCGCCGGATCGGACGGCTCTGCTTTCAAGAGCTGAGATCGGCGGCCAAAAGCCGAATACTTGGCGCCAAAAACTCAGAAAGACAATACCTTTCTCTCTCTTCTCTCTCTTCTCTCTCTCTCTCTCTCTCTCTCTCTCTCTCTCTCCTAACTCTGAAATTCGTCTTCCTCGTTCTCTCTGGAAATCGGGTCGGGTTCCACGGCCGTTCCAGAAGAATGATTACTGCCAAAACGGTGGTTTGGATCAGCAAGAAAGCCTCGAAACGACGCCGTATGTGTAAAGGCGTTCAGTAAGCATTCTATTTTGGCATGTATTGATCAGCCTTCTTATTGGGCAATTGAAGCCCAGTTTTCTTCAGTCGGCCCATAATAAAACCGAGTTTAAAGTGACTTTCTCAGGTCAGTTTTCTCTCACGGTATCTAATTGACTTTATTTATAATTTTTAAATAATCGATTGTTTTTTTGGAATAAAATAATTAATTAAAAATTAAAGAACAAAAATGAATAGAAGGGAAAATTTTTGAAATGTCATATAAACTTGTACGCATTTTTTAACTTGTCATATAAACTAAAATTTTAAGCAATTTGTCTTACCAATTTTTTGAAATCATTAATTTGTCATCTCTCCCTAATTTCGTTAAATTTTCCTTTCAATATGAGTCATACATCTCGCACATGACGTTTGTTTAGGGTTACTTCGAACGTTCTAATTAGGAATGGGCGAATGGATATAGAAACCGTGGTCGGAGAGAGTATGAGCCGATTCCAATTTTTAGCAGCGGGCCGGTTCCAAATGTATAGAAAAAGGGGGCCCGAAAGGCCCGTTTGTAACTCGCCTCGAGACCCAACCCATGAAATGGCAGTTAGCAACTTAGTTGGACTCCAGAAGACTCCCACCCACTCGCATCCAGATTCCCACCCACCCACTCTTCTCCTCCTCGATGAAACCACTATCACAGAAGTCACCGAGACCATCACCACCGTCATGACCACCACGACTGAGCCGCCGTCACGATCGAAGACTGAAATGGATTCCCATGGCCGACGACGAGTTCGTCGGCGTCGCGTGTCGTAAGTTTCAATGAAACTGAAGCTGCACAAGGACTGGGGAAGCACTCATGCTGCAATAGACAATTATTTGGCTGTTGGAGATCAATATGACGTCCAGGTGGTATATTCTTTATATTTATGTGTGGTCCTATAGGCTGATCTTACGAGTTTCATCTTCAAATATCAATTCTGATCTTGATAGTTAACATCCATACAGACACCTTGAATGGGTATGGATTTGAAGAGCATACAATTGCTGCTTTTAAAGGAAGAGAAAGGGTGGGTTTTGATGAATTTTTATTGTTGCAGAAGAGGTGGTCTCTCGGAATTGGGAGGAAGAAACAAGGTGGATTTCTAGTGGATTTGCAGAAGAAGTAGAGATGTCCCTCGAGTTGGACACATGGACCCGTCCGGTTCGTTTCAAACGGGTCGAATTAGGTCGGTTCCAAATCTCAGAATCCTTCTACTCGGCTCGGCCCGCCCTGATGTATTTTAAAGTGGATCTGGTTCAGTCCCTTCAAATTTGGGCTGGTCTGGTCCGTACCCACCCCTAGTTCTAATACCTCCCTTCCCTTCCACACAAAAAATGCAGGGTTTCTCAGGCAATGGGACAATATTTTTGATATGATAGCAATAAAATGATCATGCAATGGTAATGCACTGTCTTCTGGTTATTCCAAATATGTAATGATACATCAGTGGGGGTTTGCATTTTAGCATGTCAAGAAGACATAATTTCATACAGGCTCTATAAATGAGAAACATGCTGACATTTTGTGCCATAAATGGAGTTGTAAATGCATATGCGCTAAAGAAAAGTAAAAATTTAAGTGTTTGTACTAAAGAAAAATGAAAAACTTGTAGAAAGATGTTAAAATGATTTGAATAGCCCTAAATACAAGTCTTTCACATGATTTATATTAGATGAAAAACTTAACGAAGTTAGGATTAAAGGACAAATTAATGATTTTGTAAAGTTGGTATGACAAATTGCTTAAAATGTTAATTTATATGACAAATTAAAAATATAAACAAGTTCATATGACATTTCAAAAAAAATTTCTTAAAATAGAATTATGAAAAATGAGAAAAATTATGTGACAAATAATTTATATAAATTAATTTTGAATTTTTTTCCCACTAATACTTGTCGGTTATGAGATTTAAATTTAGTATTTTATGTTACTAAATAGAAACTCAGTGTCATTAAACAAATGATATTTAAAGGACTTCCTAATTTTCATTTCCTCTCTTTTGCACCAAGCAAAACTTAAGAGCTTATATATGAAATTCTAATTATTAAAGAAATATTACAATAAATCATCATGCACCATTTTTTTTCTTAATTTTATTTTACCAAATAATCATTTTATAAAGTTTGTTTGTTTGTTTTTTTTTTTTTTTTTGGGAAACTAGAAATGAATTACCATGGCCAACAAGCCAAAGAAAGTACAACGAAAACCTACACAGAGACTAACACACTAGACAACAACAAAACGCGAAGCAGTGAGGGGATACAAGTCAAGACAGTCGAACCAGTTTGAATGTCTCCCCAACAACTGCCAACCCAAAATCAAGGGGGACAAAGGTAATCCATCTTCATTGAGAACATGCACCAACGAAGATACGAAGATGGGGAGCTGACCCAAATGATAATGCACATCTCTGTACAACGACACGACGCTAAGGTATGCGCCACCATATTGGCTGGAATTTTATAACAAAGTCCAAACGTACACAATACAAAGATAACAACCCCATAAATGGGGTAGGTAAAAATAAGTCACTACTTATGCAATCACATGAGTAAAGGTTCCTATTTATGCCTAAATATTCAAAGTTTACAAATGATGTGGCTCGGCCCAAAAGCCAAAGCCCACCCGAAGAGGCCCAAAAGTGAGCGCATTGAAAAATCTAATAACCTTGATACCAAATTTTATACAGTATTTGGTATTAATTTTAAAGTGTCAATAATACTTTTTTTATTTGACAAAAAAAATTAATAATAACTTTTTTTTATATATATAAAACAGTGAAAGAAATTATAATTTTCGGTAAAAAATAAATAAAATGTAGGATAATTGGCCAAAGGAAACTTAAGAAAATTAATGAAGATGATCATTTCCGGATTCATTTTGTGGGGATTTTAGGGATTCCCATATCCTAGTAGTTTATTGTATATCATGCGGCTAATTTTCGTTAGGTACTATTTGTGTTTAATTTTAGATTAAAAAAATTAAATTATTTCTAATCGTACGATGCATGATAAATAATTAAGATGTAAAGATTCCTAGAATTCCTACAGTTTGAATCTAAATGAGATCCAAATCCAATTAATGAGGCCTTGCATAGGAAATGAGTGGGTCTGTGACCCCGGCATCACATGTACATGAGGCGTGGCCTTCTAGTGATTGTCCTACCACATCGAGTCGTCGCTTTGCAATGGATGAAGAGCCATCGGTAACACTCCAAGTTGTCGATAGAGCTTTCAAATTACGAACGCTAAACATTACACAAACACGTTTAATTTATAATCTCCAACTTCAAATTGTTATGTGTCGACTAGCGTTCTCGTTTCGTACTAACAAACTTGACAACCCGACAACGGCAGAGTTTTAGTGTGATCATGGGAGCTAGTTAATTCTAAAGTTATTCTTTAAAGTAAAAGGAAAAATGTATGATGAAATGCATTATAAAGTTCATCGTAGTATAAAAACCTCTTTAAATGGCCTCGTTATCATAAATTTATACCTTCGCTACTATAAAAAATTCTTTACAAACGAAGAAATGTCAAAAGGACTTCTTACCTTCCAAACAGATCTTATATATGGTCTAGGTACAAGAAACCCTGATCTCAAATCATATAAAGAGTTGTAACGTGTATCACCGCAGCCAATTACATTACAACAAAATCACAAAAACCAATAGTGTGGCAGAGTTATAATGAGATTGTTGGAGCTAGTTAACTCTAACCTTTAGGTTTTTCTCTAAGTAAAGAGTAATGCTAGAGAAATCAAAATTTTTAAACTAAAATTACAAATAATGTCGATAATTTGGAGTATTAATTAAATGTCGATTAACGTGCTTATTTTTTTTGTTGGTAACATATCATTTGATTTAAAAAAATTGTCCCCTATAACGTTACTCTTAAGTAAAAGGCAAAATGTTTGATGAAAAGTTCATCGTTGCATAGGAACCTCTTTTTCATTCCCTCGTCACCACATTTTCATGCCTCCGCTACTATAACCTATAACAAATACAAGTTACATATGGTTTAGGGTTTAGCAGAAAGAAAAAGAAAAAAAAAAAAGATCTAGGGTTAAATCACGTCAAAAAGTGCCACACTTATACGTACCACCGCAACCAAATACCGTACAACAAAATCACAGAAACCATATCCAGATCGGATTGCAACATGCATTACAAGTGGATTCTATCGATCTGTAGGTCTTTGCAGCTAGCTCAGATTGTAACCTGGAAACCTGCAGTCATGTTTCAGCCAGTACCATCCTGATAAGGTTGCCTTAGACTGCCACTCAATTACTCGATGTTACAAAAAGCTTCAAAGTCAGTCTCATGTATACAAACACATATATGTGAACACAAAAATAATAAAATGAGAATTCGTGTATAAAATAAAATTTTATGTTAGTGTCGTGATTAAGGTTACAATCTCTGTGACTTATTATTTTATAAGAATAATCCTCTAATTCGATCTCCAAAGTAGAATTTAACCTAAAGATTATGAACAATCTTGAATTAGACTTAAGATTTATTAGGACCGTTGATGTTTTATCTTGAATTAAACCAAGGAGCTTTCACTAGTCAAACGATCAAATTTTAATTAGTTGATGGCTGAAATATCAATATCTACAATGAATACATTTATAATATGTACAGTACAATATATACATATATAATATGCACAGTAAATAATTCAAGGGCTGATCGATAATGTTGCAAAAAGATATAGATAGATATGACAGTTGTTGTGATCTGATCAAAAGTGGGCCTAAAAATTTCTGCTTTCTGCATGGTTTCACATCGCTTTTGCCTCTGTGCTGTTCTTCTGTAGTCATGCACATGTTGCCGGGAAAAGAAAAGCAAGAAAAAAGAAAGCTCGAGACGATTAGTTGAACGCATGTGAAAAGATTATTATTTTTCTGAGTTTTCATCTTCTTTTTGTTTAAATATTATGGTATCCCAAACAATTCTAGACGATCGCAGGCGGAAAAATTATCGTACACTTGTTTTCTGGTTTTAAAACTATACGTTGACTTTATAGCTTGAGTGATTGAAAGCACATCTCACGTCTATTATAATTTAAGTAATTGAGAGCACACCTCACGTCTATAATGCTCAAATCTTTATTTTCTAATTTCTCAAGCAAAAGAAAACAAGTTTATATCACGATGAAACTATTTAAGTATTGTGTAAGTTGATAATGGTGTTGTGTTGGTATAACTATTGATGTAATTGTGACATTATGACTAATAAGCATGTTGTGCACTTTAAATAATCATGACAACCATGCTTTCTTTTTACAAAGATACGATATCTATTGATACAAAAAAAAAAAAATAATAATAATGAATAAATACATACATACGGATGGATATGGTGGATTTATTTTGGACTCCGGTAAAACGTTAATGGGAATTTCAACCATGTTAAAGAGGAAAGAGCATCTCGTAATCCCCTAAAAAATTCTAAGATTGTACTATCCGTAAGAATAAGATTTGTGATTACATCGAAAGATTCATCGAACCAAATTAGCTGTTGATCTAATGATAGCCATAATTTTAAAATTATTTTAATGAGATTATTGTATTAGAACAAGCAAGTGCAAAATAAAGTTGGACATCTGTTTGGGATTTGGATCCCATTCGGATCCAAATTGTGGGGATCATGGAAATCCTTACATCTTAGTTATTCATCGTGCATTGTGCGATCATAAATTATTTGACTTTTTTATATTTAAAATAGTACATGACAAAAATTGGCGGCACGATGTACGATAAACGATTAGGATGTGGTGATCTCTAAGATCCCCACAAAGTGGATCCAGACAGAATCTGGTTTGGTTCAATTTAATTATGTTTGCTGATATTGATAATGACTAGGGTGTCAATATCACATTCCTCAATCATATTAAGGGTACCATGTACTTATCATATTCCCCTTATGTTTGCTTGTTCTGTTTTGCAAGCTAAGACTTTAGGTTCAGCTTTAGAGGAATTAGGTTTCATGTCCCCATTTTTTTCTTAGGCCATCTCTAACCAAATGAGGGCCAGATGGCTCGTTTTAGCCCTATGGCCCTCCAAGAAATTAATATTTTAATGAATAGTGCATGACCAAAGTTCTTACCATCTCCTATCGAGGGCCAAATGGCTATAGGGCTCGTTTTAACCCTATTACAAAAAACCATCTCTAACCGAAGGCTAAAGGGCAATAGGGTCAAACATAATTTATTATTTAAATTTAACAACTACAACAACTTAAATTTAAAAACTATCAGAAAGAGAAAGAGAGAGAGACAGAGATAGAGAAAGAGTTGTAGAGAATAGAGGAGAGGGACAAGGAAGAGAGAGGTCCGTGAGTTATGTGAAGGGGAAAAAAGGCACGGGAAAGGGAAAAAAGAGGAAAATGGACCCCACTTGGCACACCATTTAAGATTCAAATAGTAACCTTTTCAAAAATATCTTACAACCCAAAATGGAAAGACGAAAATGCCCTTCCATTTAGTTAATTCCGG